TCGTCCGAAGATTCCAGCAAACCAAACCGCATCTTTCTAGGTCGAGAAATAAAAAAGTTACAGGCTGTTCGCAAATGTAAAAAGTCACGTGACTTAAAACGTGACCTAACAAAGCCCCTCCATAACTTTTTTGCTGTTGAAAATATTAAAAAACTAACTCAGGCGTCTCTCTAGATTTTCGTCCGTAAATTCCAGCAAACCAAACCGCATTTTTCTAGGTCGAGAAATAACAATTAACCACCAAGAACGGCTATAATGAAGGCTACTCTTTGTCACCGCCCGTTTCGCCCTTCCACAAATAAGATCCTCTTCTTATTTGTGAAAGGGCGAGATGGGCGGTGACTATGAGACGCCTTCATTATAGCCATCCTTCTCTATCTCATGGATTTCTATGTCTTACTTTATCGCTCTCACGTAACTTGTAATATACCATCGGCGCTTTCCTACAGTGTATATGGAATTATTAAATTTTGCTTCGAAATATTTTCTTTGCGACAGCCGTGCACGACCGGTCGATAAGGCTGATTGATATGCAATGAAGTCGCCGTAATAATGGGTAATGTGAATAAAAAGGCGTCTATCGCGTTCTGTTTGAACAGGCGGGGTATATGAAATTTAATACGACGATAAAATTGACCAGCATTATCGAAACGTTACACCAAATAATGCAGCAAGGTCGAATTGGTTAGAATCATCAGTCAAGTATTAACATTTAAAAAATTAAGCAAATTTGCTTAAAAATATATCAAAATAGATTTATGCGCCAGAGGTTTAATCAATAATACTCAAATAAGAAAATTATATTATAATTTTAACTACAATAATGCTTGAATACGCAGGAAATTAAAGAAAAAAAAATCACTAATTTATCTGAAAAAAACAATACATAGTCTTAAATCATCCTGTAGCAAAGCAACTACGTTCGGGAAAATGAAGATGAAATATAAAAGAAAACATTTTCTTTGCGCTCTACGCAAATATGGAGAATGAAAGGCCCCAATTCAACACCTTGAGGATTACCAGAGCGCTCTGACCTGAACCAATTTTTAAATACAAACCTTCCCAGAGATGATGGGCGTTCGTTAACTACATTACAAAAAAAAAAAAAAAATCACCAACACTTTAGGTGTGAGGATTGTAAATCTACATCTTATGACGTGAATTTCATTAAATGTTACGCATAAGCGCTCTTTATTAATAGCCTCTGCTGCAGTTAAAACCTTGGCTAGTCACCATAGTTATAGAAAATAGAACCTTGAATTGTTATTTTAGATTCGTCCTAAACAAACAAGAGCTCTAGCAGTTCACAAAAAAAATAATAGAAATATATTTAACTGAAGAAACGCGATGATTTTAAAACAAAATTGTCAGTGTTTTATTAATAGTTTAAAATAGCACATAAACGTACAGATTAGTCACAAATTTGCCGTGAAATTATTGTTTTATCGACAATCAGAGCAAACTGACATGCATGATTCAACGAAAACTGAATAATCTGTCAAGAATTTGCGTTGCTAGTTTTCGTTCATTGTCGACGTCGCTTCGTCCTGTATATCCCGATTAAACAAGACGCTCCGATCCAACTAAATCGGAACGAAGCCGAACTAATCGCGGAGAAAGTCCCACACCGACAACCTAGAACTATTGTTGAGTCTGCGGTGGTGTATTGCGGCATGATCTAGAAATCGACATACTTCGTACCGTAGGCGGCCCCGACATTTAAAGCCTTTTATTGTTTCCCTCGGAATCACGTACGGCCGGCTTTTATTTCGAGAGGAATGAAACCTAGAGTGCGGAGCGCGGTTCAGTCGACTCTCCAGCCGCTAGCTGGAGTCTAGAGAGCGTTTCACAACTGTTTTTCAAACATAAAGGGCATAACTTTAAGTGGGTGTCAGTTTTCTAGGGGTGGGTTTAATTAAATAAATACATAGTTCAATTAGTTATTTTAACTGCACTCGTTGCATCCGGAATTAGCGTGGTAAGTTGTATCAGTGCACTACCAGCGTTGCCAAACAACCGTTACTGTATACTTTACGATTCCTGATGATTTTCCCTGCAAACATCATGAATTATTTGACGAAATTAATTTTCTTACGTGTATTTTTTATATCATTATACATAATCTCTTGCCATCATCAAAAAGACGGAGCTCCTTCTTGTAAACGTCCTGAAAACGTTCCGACATCGCAATTACTTTACGAAGAGCACGCCTATTAATCCGAATTGTTTTATTTTTGTCCGTGCAGTAGGACGTAGTCGCTTGGATCGAGCGAGGGAAAAGCGAAGACTGTAATTTCACAGCTCAGTCATTTGAAAATTCCTCCTATATAAAAGCGTAAAGGGGGCTGCATTTTAAAAGTGCAGATACATAACCGCATTATGTAAATATCGCGGGGATTGGGAAACGTGAGCATGGCTCGGAAAGCGGGCGGCGTCAGTGGCGCAGCGGTCGGGGAGAAAGTTCACTAAAAGGTATATTTTACAAATGCTGTCAAGCAGTAATCCAGCAACACAACAGTACACATTGGCATACCTACTAAACCCGAAATAGTAGTTTTTTTTTTCAAAATTTACTTTTGTCGCTCAATATTATACAAACAGTACCCTCCAATATACAGGGTGATCCAGTACGTTTTTGGTATAGTTTTACAATTTAATTTTGGTTTGGACTGGACTATGTCATTGTTATTTAGAGAACTAAATAAAGGAGGATGTTCTAGCACAACTTCACTATTTAACACCTTCTAAAAGGGTCATTTTTATTTCAATAAATATTTATTAGAAGAATCGAAACAACCGGCATTTTTATGCAAAAAAAGATACCCTATGTCATAAAATAATACATTTGGTGTTAATTTTTTGTCATACACTATCTCTATTTTCTTTTATGTACAGAAACTGCTGAAAGGATTTTTTTTATATTTTTTTATTAAACATATTGACCTACTTCAATCTTAAGGAGAAATATCGGGTTTACTCAAATGCACAGATGTACTTGAAATTTATATAGCGTATTAGCCAGTGCTCCTTCTGTGCGTCATATTTTTTTGAAATTTTTTTTTAATCTAGATTTTGAGACATTGTTGTTGAAAGTTGTTCATTTTAACATAGTTTTTTTGCCCATAACTGAGAAAGAAATTTAGAAATTGTGAAACAAAACCTTTCCATAGATAGTAAACAGTATTATCTTATTTCTGATGTAAAACTAATGTAAGTTTTGAACATAGTACAGCTGTATTAATTAGAAACAGAAACCAATAATTGCATTTCTGTCTGACTTGAGGATTAATGTGGCAACGTCGCAATCGCCTCACAGCAAGGAGGAAATACATTTGAAAGACTTGATAAAAACGAAATTGATTTCAAACATATACATTTTTCCTAAATCCCATGTACATTGTTATCAACAATAAATTATCCACAACAGATGATTTTTTGTAATGTTTTTAAAAAACTAGATTAATTAAAAAAGACTAGGAAGCTGTGATATATTTATTGGAATAAAAAATACAGTTGATAAATCCTTTTAATATATTTAATGGTTTATAAAAACATCGTAATCATTACCCAGCAATATTTAGGGTTACATAAAGTTTTCTTTACTTGATTAATATAATTAGTAATACTTGAGATAAAAGCATTTGTACGGAATAACAAAGGAACATAAATATTTCTCAGCAAACTTTATATCTAAAAAATTAGTTATAGTTGCAAAACTTTTGTAACATTACTAAAATAGAGATTAAAAACACGAACAGTGAGTAATAATGTAATTTCTATCACAGAACCTTCAAAATTGCATCCAACATTTTCTTTGACTTGGACGAGAGATGGGCGCGAGTGTCATTTCATTTCTTTAGAACTAAATTAACATAATTCTCGTTGTTTTACCAGTTCACATGATTTACGGATTTTAAATAAAGGATACAAATCTTCGCGAGGATAATACGATATATTTGCTATATATAATAATTATATTGTACATAGTTTACACACAATACATTTTTGAACGCGTACGCATCTTTACCCGAATTTGACGCGCAATATCTCCGATGTCCGAGGTCTGTAGGTTCGCAGTGTGTACAACTGCTAGTCAATTATTAGCGCTGTTGCCACATCTACATAGTCTTTATGCGTTCATTAAATATAATTTAAAACTGCTTAAATATGATATTTTTATGTTGTTAATTAGTCAATATGTATGTTATGTGCATATGAGTAGATTTCTTTGCTATATAGATAATGTTTATCGCAAATAATTTCAAAAGAATTTAATTTTTTCAAACTGGTAGCGGGTTTTAGTCCCATAAGAAAAGCGTAGGACCCCCTGCGCTCCTCACTTTCCTCAGACCCCGATATACCTCTTTAAAGCCGGCAAAAAATAAAAGAAAGTCTCAATGTTTCTGTACAAAAAAAAACAGAGATATCTAGGACATTCTGCCTGTAGAAAACACCAAAAGGAGCCCTTAGACCGACTCTCAACCTTACCACGCCACTGACGCCTATGATTTATATAACAACTACCTTCTCGTTGCAGCGCGCTGTTATGTTCCTCTTCATCTGTGCATAAATTTTTAATTGACGTTTGGTCTTCTCCGTGGTCGAGTGCGCTGGTGGTTCCAGTTCTGCTGCTGCATTTCAGTCTCACAGTGCTTTCCAACAGCTCCTTCGTGGGCACTATTATTCTATTCCTGGGCCCCCCGGGCGACGACTGGACCTCCTTCAACGGAAAAAGACTGTTTCGAACGACCGCGCGACCCGGGAAATTGTCGATTTTACTACGGCCATCAGTCGTGGTTTCGTTTGAAACGCGCAACGCCCTCTAACGGCGGGTTTTGTAACTTCCAGAAGCGCGGGAGGTTAGAAAATGTAGCGACCGCGGGGCGAGTGAAATTCGATAAGATTTGACGGTGTCTCTGAAGCTAAAAAATCCGCCTTGTAGTTAAAATTTGAGACTCCGATAAATTTTCGAGAAAAATGAAATTTTTGAGTGAAAACTTGCCCAAATATGGGTCACAACTGATTTTTTCTTAAATTGTGTCCAAAAATATCTCATAATCTCGATATTTCCTAAAATTTACAAGCTCCGGTTGCATATATTTCTCAATAAAATAGTACGCCACTGCTTTACGGTAACAACCAAGATATTTTCAGATTCGTCTTTTAATTTTCTACAAATTACTACTCTCTTATGTTTTTCGAAAGAAAGCCTGATTTTCGAGTAAAACAAAAAACAAACTGAAACTCATAAAAATAGAAAAAATTTAAAAATTTAAATTGTTGTATTATATTGCATTATATTACTGAAAATGGTTGCGATTAATATTTTTTTAATTAATTCTGATTATGTTGCTAATATTCATATGATAAAGAAGAATAAAATGATATGGAATCAAATTCACCGCCTTTCAAGAAGTTAAAATTGTAATTTTATCGACCGTATTATTTTTATTAATATTTTTTAATTTTGAGAATTTTGCAATACATTCAAATGCTTTTTATTCTCTTTTAAATCTTTTAACAATAAATAATAATTTGAAAATAATTTGTGAATTTTTACATTTAAATCTTAATTAAATAGCTAACAAAATATTGAAAAAATAAGTTTACTTTGCCTTAAAAAAAATAACTTTTTAAATTTTCACTTATTTATTTAATAATAGTAAAATAATTCCGAAATTTAAATTTTAATTAATATTTCGTTTAACAAAAATTTTCGTGACATTTTTGTAAATTAAGTAAAAAAGATGCATTTTTTCTGGGGTTCAGGGCTATTCTACGAATTCGTAAATATGCCCATTGTTATTTTTTCATTGAGCTACCCCACTTTAAAAAAATAAGAATTTTCTACGATGTATAGAAGCCGAGATATTGCAAAATTTACAGCGCGCATCAATTTGAAATTGAACGATAATTTTTAACAATTAGCGCTTGTCCGCCGATTAAGATAATCCGCGTGTACGGGGGCTCAGGTCTTAACCTTAGGCCAATCTACATAATTGAATCGGTTGCGTTGCGTACGGTTTACCCCTCGCATACAGAGTTTATGGTAATGCCAACCAAGGTAAATGGGCAGAATGCGTCGATGTGGTACGGTTGTGAGTCACACCACACCGTGTGTTTGTAATTTCTAGCTTCGGGGGGCTGGGAGCAGGCTAACCAGCACGTCGTCGTACCGTTTGACAATTGAAATACATTTTTATTGCAATTTCGGTCACTGTTGGAATCGTCAAATAACAGCCAGAAATATTCGGCCCTAGGTCAGACCCCTGTGGCATCCACAGTCGGTATCTTTAAATACCACATTATAAAATCTATTTCCAGTTATAAATACATTTTTTGCATTGATTATATTTATAAACCGAAACCGAATTGTTATCGTATGAATGGAAGGTAGCAAGTAGCAACTATTTTATATAACCAAACCGCTATTTCCTTTCTATTTGCATACGTTTTTGGATGAGAATGATCGACAGCACATATTATCTGTACACATACAACTTTGTTCTTCGCTGGAATAACCAGGTGTGTACTGCGATCGATAGAAAAGTTGTAGACGTTGAAATTTTTAGTTCTTTAATTATGTACGACGTTCGACGAGCTGAATTATTAATTTGATGGCAATTTGTTTATTATTGATACAAATTTCAACTTTATTTCGTTCATCTGTAGACATTTTGGGTGAACTGAATTTTTTAAAGGATTTTACGGTCACGAAAGAAACGTATGTATATTTTTTAAATACGAATCTTAGTTGGCTGTAGTTGTATGCACGTTGATAGAAACATTTCGACAACTTTAACTTGATTAATTACACAAACCCAGGAGACACGCATATCATTTTCGAAGGAATTCAATACGCTGAACTCGATCCTGTAGTCAAAACTCATGATTTCCATGATATTTGCGGATTCGTCTTTCAATTTTCTACGAATTACTACTCTCTTGTGTTTTTCGAAAAAAGCCTGATTTTCGAGTAAAGTTTAAAAAACGAACTGAGAGCAGTTAGAAGAAATAATATATAATAGGCCAAGAAATAAAATTTTACTGGAAAAAATTCCTATCCGCGAGATTATTGTAAAATATTGTCTAAGGGAACATAATACAAGACATCTCTCATCTCGTGAGTCAAAAAATTTTAATAGCTAACTTTTCTATTTAAACAAATAAGTGAGGAAAACAGTTTTTTTCACTTTGCAGGGAAAACCATCAATTTTAGCGAAAAGTGACTCTCAGACAGCTTGTAGGGAGTAAAATTATCTACAAAATGAGACTTGTTAAATTAAAATCGGTTAATAAACAAAAAAATTATTGCAAATAAAACAAGAAAAGTGCCCATTTTTTAATTTGTTTATAACTATCGCATTTATTGTTAAAATTTTATAAAACCTATGACAAGTTGAGGGTTTTGTCATACTTTAAAAGTGTGCCAAAAGTGGGCGCTGTAGGTGCAATAGTTTTCGCACAATTCTATTTGTTTATAGCGGAGGCTCCAAAAGTTATGAACTTTAAGCCTCTGTACAGGCGTTAATTTTCAACCAAACATGATTCTGAAAGCGTCATTGTAATCTTAAAGACGTAATTAAGCGACCTATTAAAAAATATCACCGTTTTTTTGACATTAACATTCTCAAATTGTGCATTAAAAAACCGTGCGTTTTTCGCTTATAAACAATTTGAATAACATTGTTGCTATTTATGCTATCTCACCGAAAATAGATGCAATGGATAGCTGGCAAAAAAATACAGTTTTAAAATAAAAAAAGTACCCTCTACGACCAACAGGAGCCAAGATAAGAATTTTTTTTTAAAAAATCGTAGCGCAATTGTTTATAAACATTAAGACTTGAATTTTTCGCAAAATAAAGTTTACGACGTAAACTACGATTTCCTGTGAATTGGTTTTTTAATTTGAATTCCTTCGAAAATGATATGCGTGTCTCCTGGGTTTGTGTAATTAATCAAGTTAAAGTTGTCGAAATGTTTCTATCAACGTGCATACAACTACAGCCAACTAAGATTCGTATTTAAAAAATATACATACGTTTCTTTCGTGACCGTAAAATCCTTTAAAAAATTCAGTTCACCCAAAATGTCTACAGATGAACGAAATAAAGTTGAAATTTGTATCAATAATAAACAAATTGCCATCAAATTAATAATTCAGCTCGTCGAACGTCGTACATAATTAAAGAACTAAAAATTTCAACGTCTACAACTTTTCTATCGATCGCAGTACACACCTGGTTATTCCAGCGAAGAACAAAGTTGTATGTGTACAGATAATATGTGCTGTCGATCATTCTCATCCAAAAACGTATGCAAATAGAAAGGAAATAGCGGTTTGGTTATATAAAATAGTTGCTACTTGCTACCTTCCATTCATACGATAACAATTCGGTTTCGGTTTATAAACATAATCAATGCAAAAAATGTATTTATAACTGGAAATAGATTTTATAATGTGGTATTTAAAGATACCGACTGTGGATGCCACAGGGGTCTGACCTAGGGCCGAATATTTCTGGCTGTTATTTGACGATTCCAACAGTGACCGAAATTGCAATAAAAATGTATTTCAATTGTCAAACGGTACGACGACGTGCTGGTTAGCCTGCTCCCAGCCCCCCGAAGCTAGAAATTACAAACACACGGTGTGGTGTGACTCACAACCGTACCACATCGACGCATTCTGCCCATTTACCTTGGTTGGCATTACCATAAACTCTGTATGCGAGGGGTAAACCGTACGCAACGCAACCGATTCAATTATGTAGATTGGCCTAAGGTTAAGACCTGAGCCCCCGTACACGCGGATTATCTTAATCGGCGGACAAGCGCTAATTGTTAAAAATTATCGTTGCGAGCAGAGTTTTCTTTTTGTTTCGCTGCCGAGTAAGTTCATAGACATCCGGAGCAACGGCCCCCTGTAATTAATTTCAAACCAGTTCTATTTGAGAAATGGAGTTACCTACTGTTGTTCTGTAAATTGCGAACAGTAGTACTCCGACAATATTATTATGAGCGGCTTATAAGCCCAGAAGTACCCAGGCTGCTTAAGAAAAGGCTTCAAACTTTGCGTTTAAGGCACGTGACACTGTGAACAGGTGAGGTTCGTAGCTTTTTTACTAGGCGAGCAAGAAAGAAAAAAAGCGCCGCGGGTAAAATTTTTTAAATTTTCAAGGTCAAACGACCAAATGGATATGGAAATTTTTAGTTGCATTTACAATATTAAAGAAAAACTGATGTTCACGAGCAGGATTCATTCAGATTTTATAAAAAATAATACGCAACTATTTCGATATTCTATTAATCTGCTCTCAAATAATAAAACAATTTGTATGTTTCCGAAAATATCATTTTAAATTCGTTATAATATTCCTACCGTTTTTTGAACTTCTAAATTACGAAATTGTTGTCTCTCTACAAAATATTAAGTTCGTTTTTCAACCTATACGGGTTGTTACAAATTCGCTTCTCAGTAGATTGATCTCGAAAACGGTAAGAGGTACGAAGTAGCTTAAATGGGGGCAAAGTTGCGTAATCAGGGGATCAACATTATGCCTCTAAAAAATCAAGGCTAACATGATTAGGTTTCGAAATATTTGAAAAAAACTGAAATTCTGGATATCAGTTTTTGTTTCATTTCAGCCTTGTTTAAAGTGATATTGAAAAAAGAAGAATACTTTTTGCCCTTTATCGAATGACATAATCAATTTTTATATGTAACGTTTCGTCTCTCCGGGGCCATCATCAACTTCATTTTTTTAAATACGACCCTAGAAATTTTATTACATTTTTTGCAGGCATTCATGACCCCCAATATTGTACTGCCTCAGCCCGAACCAGCTTCAGACGTTTTGTCTCGAAAATTCATCTTCAGTGTATTCGTTCCTAAATTTTTTATTTAGATTTCTTTGTTTTTTGAATTATCGTACACTGTAAATGTCGTTAGACCCTGTGAAATCCATCTTGTTATTTAAACTATTACCAAAACGTGTTACAATAACGCATTTATTATTATTAACTATTACCATCACTTGATCATACATAACTTAATAAGTTGTTGCGTCAAAATTAAAACATTATTACTGTTTTAATTTTATTATGACAAATTAATTCTTAAAAATGCATATGAACAACCAAAACGCCAACTGAATACTATTCTTTAAAAAATTTCAGTAAATTTTCTAAAACATTTTCGTTCTGGCAGATGTTGAAAATGAATATCAGCGTAATATTATCGGAATTTATTATATCTGTAACTGCAACTGTGAAAGAGCATGTCAGATGTATTTGTATGAATATCCTGTAAAAAATAGATCGGAATTTGTTTGAATTTTGAGCACTCGAAAAGCCTAGAAATAACTATGGACACGGGAATAAAACTAATAATTTTTTATTTTAATGCGTGGTGGTAATAGTTTAAATAACTAGATGGATTTCACAGGGTCTAACGACACTTACAGTGTACGATAAATCAATAAACAAAGAAATCTAAATAAAAAATTTAGATAAATTTGGAACGAATACACTGAAGATGAATTTTTCGAGACAAAACGTCTGAATCTGGTTCGAGCTGAGGCAGTACAATATTGGGGGTCATGAAGGCTTGCAAAAAATGTAATAAAATTTCTAGGATCGTAAAAAAATGAAGTTGATGGTCCTGGAGAGACGAAACGTTACATATAAAAACTGATTATGCCATTTGATAGAGGTCAAAAAGTAGCCATGAGAAAGTGTTCTTCTTTTTTCAATATCACCTCTAACAAGGCTGAAATGAAACAAAAACGGATTTCCAATATTTCGTTTTTTTTCAAATATTTCGAAAACTAATCACGTTTGAACACATCTGTAACAAACATTCAAACAATTTTTCGGGAAATTTGTGTGCATATTCGGAAAATTTCGAGGAATCTATTAAAGCAAAATAATTTAAATCATGTAAATTCCCAAAACGAGTAGGTACTTAATTAAAGGGGAAATATTTCTAATTCGTCGCAACTTTTGCCCCGTTTACTTGGTAGTCCAGTAATATTTTTTGCATAATTAAACATATTTTTAAATTTTTCTTCCTTTCTTAATTCAGAAATTCTTCGAATAGTTATTTTAATTTGTTTATAGTAGTTTACGTCAATACGTCTTGAAAAAGGTGTTTCAAACAATATTGTAAGATACATTCATTATTAGCTACCTATGTAGGTATTTGATAAATAAGTTAATTTACGTTAAATTTAGTTTTACTTTGTTTTGTTGTAAGGAAGTTGTTTTTTATTTACTTTAAATTAATACATGCCTTGTCCTTATACTCAAAGACTTTGTGCTATCCCTCACACTGACATCAGATACTACCCTCGTACTATACGACGCGTGCATTAACCGCGAACTAAAACTATAAGCAGCGGGCCTCAGTTCCCTCGCAGATCACAATTATTTTATGCTGTTATTTTGATTTTTGATAAATCTAATAGGTAATTGGTAATTAGCTTACCTAACTGTTTATTTAGGTTAATAGTAGAATAGCAGGTATTAAAATATACGGTGTGAGAGCCAAATTTTACAGTAAGACTCGGCCTCAGTTGTTTCATACGACGAGCCGCCGCTGGTTAAGGTAACTTTAAAAATAGTTATATTAGGTTGTGCAGTATCAAATCCCATAGAATTTAACACAGTAATAGGTATTGCGACGTATTCTTAATTTAATATCGACAAAACAGTGTCTGATATTAAAAAAGTCAATTGTAAAAAACCAAAATCAGGTCAATTATCCCCAAGGGCTTTCATTAGTTTTTCGGGAGAAACCACGACGATTTTCACTTATAATATCGACTACTCCTTATATCATTACCGGACATTTTTTAAACTCATGAATATTTGGAAAATTAATTTTCTAAAAAACGTCACGACCCAGAAAAAAATTCCAGGAATAATTTAAGAGCGTTACCTGAACGTATTTGATCAACGCGAACTCTATGTCATCCGAAACAGTCTCCTTCGAGTCGGAGGGGCAGAGGTCAAAGCAACGACAACAACAACACCTCGTGCAGTCCCACCACGGCCTTTTGTCACCCCATTCGTCCGACTCCTCTATTTTCTCCAACTTCTCGAAGGTGGAGTACGATGAATCATCGTTCACCTTGTAGCCGACTAAGCGAGCCATAAGGTTGCGCGTATGGACGATTGCGTAACGACTGCGGTTGCCAATACGGTACAGTCGGGAGGAAAATAAATGTCCGATACGCTCGGTGGCGGGCGACAGCCTTCTGGACGAGCCGTTGCTCGCGATCGAAAACGGGCGTTAAGGCACAGAAAACAAAATGTTTTTGTCATAAATGAATTTTACTTCAGTCGAATTAGAGTTTGAATGTGAAAAAATTATTAGTAGATAATTTAGTGCACTTTGTAACGGGGGATTCTTGCATTACACGTTTCGAATTCGGTTCAAATATATCGCGCGAGCCGAGGGCGGCGCTCACGCGCGTGCTCGGGCCTGGCGCTCCTCTCGCGTGCAAGCTGTTCATTAACGTCAACTTTTACTGCTGCTAGCGCGTTTATTACATGAACTATGAATGTAAAACTTCGTGGAATTAAAAGTTTAATCCTCATTTTAATTGTCTTTAAAATCCCAGTCCGATACATCCAATTAACGTCATAAAAAAGTTATTTTGGGAACAAAGACGCGTAGGGATTTCTTCTTTTTTTTTTTAAATTACCGTAAACGTAAGCTCTATTTAATACAAAAAAGAGCAAATTCCCGAGAGGCTTTTGCCTGACTCTGGAACAATTTGTTTATAACTGCTTTGCACGTCTTACTTTGTTAAAGAAAAAAAACCTACGGTACGTGTTCCTAAAGGTTAAAGTTACAGAGACGGTGACAAAATTTCATTTCAAAATAAAACACATGTCACCGACGTTTTTCGCCGACGTTTCGCGATCAGAAGGTTATTCTCGATTAAAAACTAGCTTCAAATTTATGTATCTATAACAAGTTTAATTCAAAACTAACGGGAAATAACTGTTGCAAAGTATATCCACATTATAGGCGAGCGGTTCACCCCTAAATAAAAGGCATGAACCAACTAAATTTTTAAAACAAAAACCTACAGCATGAAATTTTTTCTTTTAGTGTATTTTTCTGATAATTTATATATTTTTTCTATATTTTTCGGCATGGTCAGTCAATTGTTGTAAAAAAAAGATTACTCGCCGAATGGCTTTGAAAGTTTTTTTATTGTAAAATGAACCAGAATAAACACTTTTTGTTCTTCGACAAAAATTCGAAAAATGCATTGTTTTCGAGATATTTACAATTTAATGTGAAAAAAGTGACGAAATCGACAAACTTTCGGAATTTTTTTCTCAAAAACTACTGAACAGATTTTAATTCTAAAAAAGCATAATAATCGGCAGATTTTCTACTTTAAGATATATTTTTTTGGTATGGGTCAATCATTTTATTGAAGGTCTAAAGCGAGTAAAAAAAAGTCTTTTAAAGAAAATTATGATAACACTTCAAATTTAAATTTTCTTTTTACAATATCTTGGATTAGATTATATTTACAATAAACATTATTATGATTTTTTTAAATCGATATATGTTAACAAAAGTTATTGGATAATTTATTGTATAGGATAATTATTTTATTTTTATTTTACAAAAATATTAAGAACAATAAAAGTATATTAATTTCTTTTTTATTTAATTTTTAAATAATAAGTTTTACGTTATTTTCGACAAGTTCTTGAGTTGAAATAAGCGTTTCATCATCAATTTCGGATGGAACATTTTGACATTCATCTGAGCATGCACAGAATGCACAGCATTCTAGGTTCGATGACAAACAGTTACAATTTTCCACTACATGAACAAAAATATTTTTGAAGCATATCTAACGTAATTTCTCCTTCGAAATAATTAAAATCCAAACAACCATTTTCGATTTTCCATCCATGTGTCAATGGATCTAGAGTTACAATTTCACTATTTGTAGACTGTTTTTTTTACTCGGTTTAGACCTTCAATAAAATAATTGACCTACACCAAAAAAATATATCTTCAAGTAGAAGATCTGCCGATTATTATGCTTTTTTTAGAATTAAACTATGTTCAGTAGTTTTTGAGAAAAAAAATCGGAAAGTTTGTCGATTTCGTCACATTTTTCACATTAAATTGTAAATATCTCGGAAACGAAGCATTTTTAGAATTTTCGTCAAAGGACAAAACGTGTTTATTCTTATCCATTTTACAATAAAAAAGCCATTCGGTGAGTAATATTTTTTTTACAACTTTTTTGCGCCGGAAAATATAAAAAATCTATGTACATTATCAGAAAAATACACTTTGTAAAATAAGAAAAGTGTCATGCTGTGGGTTATTGTTTTAAAAATTTAGTCGGTTACTTTCATTTAGAAGCATCTTTTTAGGGGTGAACCGCTCGCCTATTAAATCTAGTCGATAATTGCGGCAATGTGGGCAGTTAATTAATTAAAAATTCTATCACTATTTCCACAGCCCTTACGATTGATTACACTAACAAAAAAACCTTTTAACAAATAATTAACGAACTGGATATAATTATCAAAAAGGGAATTAATGAATTTACCGCATTGAGTGCATAGATTTGAATTATTTCAATAACGTAGTTCTAAAAACATTTTCAGTAATAATTCCGAATGAACATTACAAGCAAAGCTTGTTACTGACATTTGAGTATAACCTCACTAAACCCTTCTATTGTTTGTTCATTGCACCGCCACCTAGATCGAACATTTAACATTTCCACCGCTGTACACTTTAGACAATGCAATTATTGCTCGTATTTGGGTTCCGCCATTTCGAAACAATCGAATAAGATTATGCAAATGCTACTTTGATTACGACTTTTCTCATAAAATGAATTCGCTCGGATTGTAGTTTATTTTTCCATTCAACTCGAACCAAGGACTTATAATAGAAAGACAAGGAAACGATATTGTCAATACGCTCAGTGGTATTGGCGTTAAAAAAATCACATGCACGGAAGTAATTCATGACGAATATAGAAAAATTACAGTGCAAATCGTGAAAAATTCCTCGGAACCCAAATAAAACAAGAAATTGGCATTATTTTAACACGAACTATTGATATTCACACTTGTCGCTACCCGAGTTGAGGATATACTAACATTTTTAAGATTATAATTCCGGTGCAACTTCCGGAGATACGGTCATATTGTGGCCGTTGTGGAATAGCGTTTTAAAAACGTAAAAACCGCTGTGGGTTAGACATATCATCATTTGTGACCGACGCCACAACCAAACCATAAAACCACAACAAAAAAACCGTTTTATGTTCAAAAAGAAGTAATTTTCCTAATTTCATTTAATAAAAATAATACCGAAGAAAGCAAACATACAACAAATATGCGGCGATAAAAAACACTCAACCACATTCCATCCAAAAATCAATGATAAGCTCCACGAGAGAGATAAGACCTTTATCTAAAAAATTTATCGCTGCGAAGCGTAAGCAAACATAACGCAAACGCAAGAACGACTGTTTGCAAAGCTTAAAAAAATTACATAACATTTTACACTACGTTCCATAAAAGATCACGAGGCGCGAATTATATTTTCTACTCGACATCTGCGTTTTGAAATGTTATAATAAATATAATATTAAGTATCTGGAGCGTATAAAATGAAATAAAACATTTGGATTTAACACGGTTAAAAAGGTAATTGCCGACAGGGCGGCACACTTTAACACAGACGTTATATTATTATTGAAGGAGGAAAAAATAACAGGGATTTTTTTTAGACAAATTCATTAATGACACTAAACATTTTAAGATTTTACGTAGTATAGGCGCCGTGATAAAAGACAAAGGTACTTTTAATTTTTTTAAGGAGGTATATTGGGGTCCGAGGGAAGTGAAGAGCGCAGGGCAGTCCTATGCTTTTCTTATGGGACTAAAGCCTGCTGCCAATTTCAAGAAATTAAATTCTTTTGAAATTATTTGCGATAAACATTATCTCTATATAGCAAATAAATCTACTCATATGCACAAGGCATACATATTGACTAATTAACAACATAAAAATATCATATTTAAGTAGTTTTAAATTATATTTAACGAACGCATAAAGACTATGTAGATGTGGCAACAGCGCTAATAATTGACTAGCAGTTGTACACACTGCGAACCTACAGACCTCGGACATCGGAGATATTGCGCGTCAAATTCGGGTAAAGATGCGTACGCGTTCAAAAATGTATTGTGTGTAAACTATGTACAATATAATTATTATATATAGCAAATATATCGTATTATCCTCGCGAAGATTTGTATCCTTTATTTAAAATCCGTAAATCATGTGAACTGGTAAAACAACGAGAATTATGTTAATTTAGTTCTAAAGAAATGAAATGACACTCGCGCCCATCTCTCGTCCAAGTCAAAGAAAATGTTGGATGCAATTTTGAAGGTTCTGTGATAGAAATTACATTATTACTCACTGTTCGTGTTTTTAATCTCTATTTTAGTAATGTTACAAAAGTTTTGCAACTATAACTAATTTTTTAGATATAAAGTTTGCTGAGAAATATTTATGTTCCTTTGTTATTCCGTACAAATGCTTTTATCTCAAGTATTACTAATTATATTAATCAAGTAAAGAAAACTTTATGTAACCCTAAATATTGCTGGGTAATGATTACGATGTTTTTATAAACCATTAAATATATTAAAAGGATTTATCAACTGTATTTTTTATTCCAATAAATATATCACAGCTTCCTAGTCTTTTTTAATTAATTTAGTTTTTTAAAAACATTACAAAAAATCATCTGTTGTGGATAATTTATTGTTGATAACAATATACATGGGATTTAGGAAAAATGTATATGTTTGAAATCAATTTCGTTTTTATCAAGTCTTACAAATGTATTCCCTCCTTGCTGATTGCGACGTTGCCACATTAATCCTCAAGTCAGACAGAAATGCAATTATTGGTTTCTGTTTCTAATTAAAACAGCTGTACTATGTTCAAAACTTTCAAGATAAAGATTTGATTCTACATTGTAAAACTGTTTATTTCTTTTATGAATGCACTTAACTAAGAAATAGATCTTTACGTATACATTAAGGGAAAAAATACTATCCACAATTAAATTTGTATTCAGCTTGCGGGAGTTGGCCTTGGTTTTGTCAAAATACTAAAACTGCGGTTTTTAATTCTAACAATTAAAAATAACACTGCCGACCGCAGGGTGCGCTGACTCTGAACCTGGAATGATTCGCAACGTAACAAATGAATAATTAAGCGCACTTAGGTATAACAAAAACCGTAGACAGCGCACAAAAACAAAGCTTCTTCGACCATTATATAGTTTTTGCAAATAAAATACTATTTATCAGTCTCAGTAACTTGAAAAATTTTCTTTACGCGCAATGAATTAATTTATCATGAGATTTAATTAAAACAATCGAATGTTATCATCAGATCGCAATCTAAACGCATTAGACTGAACGTCATAAGATTTTTACAGTAGACAAACAACTTTCAAATTATTGCCAGCTTCTTTGATCAAATTTTTAGTGAAAGCAACTCTCCAAAACATATTGGTCACATTCCGAACAAATCAGGTTCGAAAAAAATGGCTAAAGGATGCCACACACCCTCAGATTACCTCCGCGTAAGTTTTCAACGAAGAAACATAGTTCTCCGTGTTAATAAATCATTCGACACGGTAATCCTAGTAATTCCGTAGTGATAAGATCTACACGTACTGGAAATGTAAACAAGAAATACTTAACACAAAAAGTAAGTAGCGCGCGGTTTGTTTGGCCGTACAACCTCGGTTAAAATTAATAGGCGTTTTCAAAGATAAGGTCTATTTCTATCGAAAGACGGAATTGAAAGCGCAGGGTGGCAAAATAAATGCTAAACACGGACGAAGATCGATGGGTTTGGAAGAAAGTTCCTTGTTGCAAAAACTATTTATCTACAGGTAGTAAAAAACGCGTGAGGAATTTTTTATAGACTCTTTAATAAATATAAGAGCTTGAAACATTCAATAATGAACAAAACTTTCGGAAATTTTTGTCAATGATTAAAACTATGTCTCAAATGTATCGCATAAACATATTTCCCATTTCCACTTCATGTAATAATCAAATTACGACCAGAGGCTGCTCATCTAAAGGGGGTCTCTCATTCACGTATTTTTTTTATTCTACTGCAATTCTGAACATTGTTCGATGGGGACATCCGTTTGTTTTACATCATAAAGGGACGAAAGGGGTTTTCTACACACTTTTACTAATCAGCTAAAAACCTTACGACAGAAAGAAGCTCTATATTTAATCCGGTCTTAAATTACAGGAAACGAGGACAAGTTTTTAGGTGCGGTGGCGACAAACCCCTTACACAAGAGGGTAATTTATATACCACACAACGGGGGGTTGTCGCCGGCAAAGGTGAATCATAGGCACGCGTCCGACAAACTTTCCAGGGTCACTGTTAATTATTTTTTTAACCACTAGGGTTAAATCCACTAAAACTAGTAACTTTAAGTGGGAGTAGGGACTGTTTATTAATATCCAGCGTTTATGTCGCATTAAACGAGATATTTATCGAATAAAATTAATACCCTACAGTGTTACACAGCGTTGGACAGTTGTAAATGTCACAAACTCTATCGGTAATTACAGTTGTAATTGTTTTAATGGCCGCCGAGTTAACTATTAACGAATTGTGCTCGCGATGAGTGTGCAGCGCATCGGTTGTTAATTCAATTAAGGGATGTAGCATTTGTTAATTAAACTACAATGAAATTTATTAGAGAAGATTACTGTTTTATCCGCGTGAAAGTTGTACGGGCCGAAAATTTACATGCTCCAGTGGCGGAGGTACGGGGTATCGGTGGTATATTTTTCTAAATAAAATAGTACGCCACTGCTTTACGGTAACAACCATGATATTTTCGGAATCGTCTTTCAATTTTCTACGAATTGCTACTCTCTTATGGTTTTCGAAAAGCCTGATTTTCGAGTAAAACTTGAAAAACGAACTTCGATATTCGAATATGCTTTTTTTTAATTACATAGTGGGCTGCGATAGCAACTTTGATATTCTGAGCAGTTAGAAGAACGAATAAATAATGCTTTTCATCGGATCCGAGCAATAATAAATTTCGAACTAATTACATTTTCGTTACTAAAAAGATGTCGGGCCTGTGTTCGTGGAAATGGAGATATTTTTGAGCATTTACTCGAATAAAATCATTAAATTGATGATTAATGTTATTAATTTCTTTAATTAATTTCGAATAATTAACCGAATGATTAGTGTCACGTCATTTAGAAAAATATGCCACCGATACCCTGTACCTCCGCCACTGGAGTATGTAAATTTTAGGAAAAGCCCTCGGATTTTGGACAATGTTTACATAAATACATGTGCCTAATTTCAAATTATTTCACTTACTAGTTTTTAAATTATTAAAAAAAATTAAAAATATTTTTTTAAGTTTAGCACCCTGTATCTTTTTAACGAAGCCTCCTAGATAAAAACTTTATAGGAAAGACTCCCAGTAAAATTCACCAAAGAACACGAGGTTTCATTATTGGTCACAATTTGTGAATCACCCTGTATACTAAATCATGTGGTCGAATGTAACATGCCAAACAGTGCAATAATATAACATTCAGGCGATCCCAAAAAGGCTCGAAATTTAGATAAAAGTTGTAGGATATCAAGAAGCCAATACGACCTTGGATTTGACATTGATCTGGAGTTTCAAGGTCATATCAAGGTTAATTTAAAATATTCCTACTTTTTCTATAAATAATCGATAGAGCGTCGCATTTTACGTGGAGACCAGAAAATTTTTCACGTACCTATGTATGTTCCAAATGACTTGTAAGGGCATATAGAAAAAAAATCTCACATCCGTACGTAAAAATTGGCGCTCTATCGATTGCTGGTTTAAAAAAATAGGGTGCTCGGTTCAATATTTCCAAGGTGACCTTAGTTTGACTTTGAAACCGAAGATCAAGTTCAAATCGAAAATCACAAGCAACCGATTTCTTGACATCCCACAGCATTCATTAGAATTTCCCTTGGTAGGATCCAATCCTGAAAGGT